ATCAGATCAGAAAATAGCGTAATACGGGCGCTTTAAGGTGCGTGGCGTAACTTTATTAGTGGAGATTTGCTGCCTGATTTTAACGTTTTTATATTAAAATTATCATCATTATCATTACTGTTACTAATCTGCATAAATAAACTCAACTTTACAACATATAAACCATAACCACTCTAGAGCCACATCAGCCCGTTTGAGATTATAATGTGTTTAATGCAGCTTGTTTACACCCCAAGGAAACAGCATTATAACATCGATCAGAAAATAACGTAATATGGGCCATTTAAAGGTGCATTGCGTAACTTTGCTGGTGGAGGGTTCATCACCTGCTTGTTTCTAATGGAGATGTCATTGCTCTGCCTGGAATGTTCCACAGTATGACATTAAACAGCTCTACCTTACATGTTTTCAATTATAATTGGTTTTATAGCAGAAAAATAGCTAGAAAAACAGACATTTTGACTGTGAGCGGGGTCGCCTCTCCACAGATCTGACCTGTAACTTGGTCTGGTTTGGTCTCCATGATGATAGAAAGGTTTAATACCATACTGTGAAACATTAAAGGTTGTATAGAGGATTTTCCAAGGAACGAGAAATCCAGCGACTGTTTGTCCTTTTTCAAATGTTGCGCATGCGTGAAACCACCCCCCCTCCCCTACAGCTCCTACGTAGAAACACCTCCTCCCTCCTCCTCCTTACGCCAGAAACAGGTTTGTTTACAGCCGGTGCTGCACATGACTTGTAAACAACTAACTACAGTGTTGGTTAGGCAAGACGGAGAAGTGAGAAGCGGGGGGAGCGGGTGTGCGGACATTTCGTTCGCGGACAAGAAGTGAGGAGCAGGGAGAAGAGCGGAGCAGGGAGAGAGGAGAGAGGAGAGGAGAGAGGAGAGAGGAGAGAGGAGAGGAGAGAGGAGAGGGGAGCGGTGCTCAGAGATTCCGTGCCCGGAGAAGTGAGGAGCAGGGAGAAGAGTGGATCGGGCAGCGGGGACAGGAGCAGGAAAGGGGTGCAGAGAAGAGTGCGCGGAGATTCAGTGCGAATGAACTAGCTACAACACGCAGCAGCAAGCGGACTCTTTCTTTGCCTTGAAAATTACGTTTTTAGACATAGGATATCGCTTTCGTGTCCTGAAAAACGTTTGACTAGCTCTTGGAAATAAAGTACGTTTTCATAATAAGCAGAAGTTGACCTGTCCAGGAGTAATTTGTGGACCAGTGCGTCAGTCTTTAGACCCTGCGTCTGCTTCAGTCGCGCCATCGCTGGAATGAATCTCCAAGAATCACCTTAGTTTGGCTTCACTGCTTTTCCCCTTGTCTTCTTCTTTCAGCGACCTCAAAAACTGACTTTCTTTTGCGGTGAACTGCTCCTGGATTCTTGTCACCATTGCAACAAACTTTGTGCTAACTGCGAGGAAGATCCAAAGGTCAAAAAAAGCCGCTAAGAACTGTTGCGTTGGTGGAGTAAACAGCGTCTGTGCGGCTTGCGTCTGCGTGACAGTCGTACGTAAACCACGTACCGGCGGCGCGCAGGCAAGTCAGTTACGCTAGAAACGTAGGGAGTTTGATTGACAGCCTGTCAGCTAACAGATAACGAGGCAGTGTCGTTATCTATTGGCAAATGTTTAGCCCCACCACGTCCAGAGTTGATGAATTTTTATTCTCTTTTTTTTGGTCATCATAATTACAAGGCCACTGCACCTCTATAATGCTATCATTGACAACTTGAAACAAAAAAAACAAAAAAAAAATCCTCCATACAACCTTTAAAGCGTAGATACTAGGGATGTAACGATATCCAAATCTCTCGGTACGATATTTATTGCGAATTTTTGAAGTGGCTGATATAATTGTAGACACTTTTTTTTTGCTTTTAAAATACCCCAAGAATTTGATGTGAATTATTTGTGTGATAATCCCAATAATTCAAGTAAAAACATATTTCTTCACGTTGTCTGCGCTGAAATGAACCATGGGATATGTAGTTTCTGATGTTCATAAGCTGTTGCTACTATAAAACCGTGAATTTAAGTAAAGGATTTTGTTGTTATTGTTACATCCCTAGTTGGTGCCAGTAAGAAATCTCTCACTCTTCTTGGACGTTTCTCACATTTAAAACATTTTACATTTTACTTTACGTCGTCTATAACCACAGCTCCTATCTTTGCCCGAGTCCCTGGCCTCCCCTGTGTCTCGTGTCTGTACAAAAACACCGTGCTGACGCTGATTGTGTGAAATTGAATATGGATCTCTCCCTCCAGGACTGACGCGCGTCCAGAAGGGCAAGTCAGTGATGGATGGCCCACGTTATACTGGAACTATCACTATGCTAACATCTATTGGGTTTTAAACAATGGGACAACTTTGCATTTTGAAATATGCCACGCCGTTTTTGTGTTGTAACGATGCCATTGTGTTGATATAATGCCCTATTCTGAAACATTTTGGGTTGGTGTTGGTCTGTGACTTCCTTTGTCTAGTGGGCATTGAATGTGTGTCTCATTCGTTCATTCGCTTTTCAATATAAAACCAAAAATATGAAAATGAAAAAGCAACTATTTTCTTTATTATTTGTCTCCAAAACTAAAATGAAAAAACAGATAAAGATTTTTTTTTTTTTCAGTTTTTCGATTTTGTGTTTAAATGAATAATGGAAAAAACAGATAACGGACTGAAGCAGGACTGAACCAGGACTAAACAGGTCTCAGTCCCGGTCTGGTCCTGGTCACAGTCTCGGTTTGGTCCTGGTCTCAGTCCCGGTCTGGTCCTGGTCTCAGTCCTGGTCTCAGTCCCAGTCTCAATCACGGTCTGGTCCCAGTCTCAGTCCTGATCACTCTACAGTCTACGCGGGCGCACCTCTGGGTCCATCCCGACACTCAGTACTGGTTTAGTCCTGGTTCAGTTCTGGTTCAGACTTGGTTTAGTCCTTGTTCAGTCCCGGTTCAGTCCTGGTTCAGTTATGGTTTAATCCTGGGTCAGTCCTGGTTCAGTCCTGGTTTAGTCCTGGCTTAGACCTTGTTCAGTTCAGGTTCAGTCATGGTTCAGACTTGGTTTAATCCTGGTTCAGTCCTGGTTTAGTCCTGGTTTAGACCTTGTTCAGTTCAGGTTCAGTCCTGGTTCAGTCCTGGTTTATTATCCATTTTTTTCATTTTGGTTTTGGAGACAAATAAAAAACAAAATAGTTACTTTTTCGTTTTCTTATTTTTGGTTTTATTTTGAAAAACAAATGATACACGAATTGCATTGGATTACAAACTACACAATTTCTTCTTTCAATTTCTTCTAATATTTTAACTTTTTACTATATTTTATTTAGTTTGCTGTTTCTGTACTCTGTAACATCGACTTTATGAACTTGTTTTTGTTTTTCTTGTCATAAACGTATCTGGCGATTCTATTTTAAGGCTTCAAACACAAATGATATGGACACATGAGCGTGAGGCTGCGCTGTTGCCTGGCTACTGTTTTGTGTAGGAGTTTAAAACTGTATATGAAAAGTTAGTCATAATTTTTATCTTGATCATTTCAGCAAGACACAGCTCATTGCAACACAGAGTTTACGGTATGAGACTGGCTTATCTGTGTAAATAAATTCATAAAAAACTGACTCTTGTGAGGTTTAAGCCGTGTTATAATGTTGTTACCTCCTCAAAAACATCTGGAGTTTTCAAGTCAACAGCTACTTTTACGTTTAGTTTAGTAGAGACTGGCAATTCCAAATGATTCTAGTGAAGATGTAATGGAGTTTAGAAACACAGTGGAGCACTTTCTGTACATCACAAGGTGGATTTTGTGTGAATGAAACAAAACACAACTCCGGGTCTGTTTGTGATGAGGAAACAATTATAACAGAGATCAAAAAATAGCGTCATATCGGCACTTTAAGGTGCATGGCGTAACTTTATTGGTGGAGTTTTTCGCTGCCTGTTTTGTTATGTTTTATTATTCATCTGCATAAATAAACTCAACTTTACAACATATAAACCATAACCACTATAGAGCCACATCAGCCCGTTTGAGATTATAATGTGTTTAATGCAGCTTTGACACATTTGTTTACGTTTTACAGAATTGAAACTTAAAACCACGTGACTCATTTGCATAAACTATAAGCTCTGAAAAAAACAGCTCTTTCCTTGTTCGCTGATGTGGTTCAGCTTCTGTTGGACTAAAGGACACGACTCAGTGGAATATGAGTGTTATTTCTGTGTCAGAGGGATGTTGATGATGATGGTGAGTCTGTTCTGTGTGTGTGTCGCGTTGTTTTCAGAGATCAGACGTGTGCAGGTTTAACGCAGCTCTTTATTTAACATCATTTCACTTTATTTATGTTGGTCACTTTATTTATTTTGGCTTCTGTTGTGATGAAAAGACTGAAAAGTGTTTGTCTTTTGGAGTAACCAGGATACTGTGTATACGTGCACTATGATGAAACCTTGATACTCAAAAAAACCCGATCATACCCGGGACACTGATGTGCTGTAAACACACTCACTGAGTGGTACAGTGTCTCCAAGGAGCCAGAGCCCAAACGTAGGACTGTGAGGCACAAATCTCCTTACACTACGCACAACAATCTACATTCGGTTTGTCGATTAAAAATGAACGTGTACAGACAGAATAAATATATGGGGCTGTTTGCTGCAGGTGTTCCAATCAGTAGGAGCAGGTAGAGGGCGCTCTTGGAAAAAGGATCAAAACTAAAAACACAACAGACTCCAGGCCCTCCAAAGAAGTAAAAATCGCACCAGAAAAAATACAGTTAAAAGGCTTTTATTTAAATGGCCAAAGCCGACATGTTTCAACCAACCTGGTCTTTAAACTCTACTGAGCCCTTAAGCCCTGATGAAGACCAGGTTGGTTGTGATTTTTACTTCTTTAGAGTGCCTGGAGTCCGTTGTGTTTTTAAAAATTAACATGATCGACGAAATTCTTGATGATCACTTATCGATTAGTCAACTCATCATGCCCATTCCTAAAAAATACTTTTTATTGTCTCCACAGGGAATTTCCAGGAGCAGTGGGACTCATCTCCAGATCTTGAGCTACTCTTGGTCCAGATCATCTTAGCGGGAGGATTTGACCTATGGTGAGTATTTTGGGTTGATGGGGGAATCCAGAGTGCCCAGAGGAAACTCGCTTGTTCAATTTTTTATTGCTAAAAACATTGCTTGAAGAACTCTCCGCAGATCTGACCTGTAATTTGACCTGATAGTGTCATGTGCTTGTCTCTGCGGCGGTGGATAAGTAACCCTGGAACAACACAGATACATTATAAATATCTATAGAGAGAAGTTTCCCCAACTCTCCATTAAATTTGCACCTTTAAATTTTCCATTATTCCCCAATAGAAAACAACATCAGTCCCACCAAATTCCAACTCGCAATTAAATCACTTTGAGCAACTCCTTAATAAGTTACGTTCAGAGTCCTTTTGGCGTTCCAAGGTTAAGAAAACACTTTGAAACAACCTGCACCCGCGAGCATTCGAATTAAAATGTTAATGCCTGCCCTAGTTTGTTGGCAAGACCGCAGTTCCCAGTGGCTTTAAATGTCAGGCTAACAACCGTCTAAAAATATCAAAAATACAAGAAGGCAAGAAGGAAGAATAGAAAACGCGCTGTAGGATTGTCGGGAAGAGGCTACAACGAAAGTGCACATCTCAAGTCTTCAAATATTCATCTCGCGGGGGCCGCTTTATCATTTATTTGTTGATGTTCGCTCGCGGTCGATGCTATGTGCGCTTGGGGGTTTGTGGGTTTTCAGTTCACGTCACAAACCCACAGTGTCAAAGGGTAGCCGCTAACTGGAAGAGACAACGGTAAAATTTTGGGAGAAGATTCGCGGCGTGCCGTAGAAGAAGCTCTCGGGCGACTGTCGGCAAAGATAGATGTCTTGCGCTGGACGCGAAGCTCCGGTCTGAATGAGTTTGAAATGAAATATTTGCGCTGTGTTCAAAGATGTTGACGTGTGAAAAATGTATCTGCCGTGTACTTTGTTGTTGTAGTAGGTAATCTGGAGGAACTTGGTCAGGAGTAGCTAGCTGGAGGTGGAAGTGCGAGAAATATTGTGAAAATGTGATCTGGCAGTGGAACTGAAGAAGCAGCTGCGAGTCCAGTTGACAGAATTGAATTTCTCTTTTGCACAATGGTTATTTTTGGAGGAAAGATTTTAAAATGAAGTATAATATATTTTTTAAAAAAAAGACCTATTGTGTTTGTGTCTGTTATCCACCTTATTCAGCCCCGCCCACTTTTGTCTCTAAATGCTCCTAAACCGCACTTTATTGTGGTGTCACTTCCGGTTAAACAGGACACCCATTCAAAGGAGAATTTTGGAAACATTTTGCATCTTAAATATGACATAAAGTAGGGTGACCAAACATCCGTTTTTCCCCGGACATGTTCGTATTTTGCATCCTGTCTGGGGCGTCCGGGTTTTTTGTTATAAAGTGATGCAAATGTCTGGGTTTTCAGTACCGTTCACTGGGGGCATTAAACTGAGCGTCTCTCGTAGCGTCTGTGACTCAGAAGGAGCGAGACACAAACAGTCGGTCAGTCTGCAACATACTGAAGCATAAATGCGCATTTAACGATGATCTGTACAAGAAATTCTCCGTTTTCCGTCCCGGTCGGGACAAGTGTGAGTCCATGTGCACAGGTTGTGAGGTGAGAATACAGTGTCCCTCGTTTATCACGGGGGTTACGTTCTAAAAATAACCTACGATAGGTGAAATCCACGAAGTTGTCAACCTTATAATTTACTATTTTTATATCTGTTTTAAGGCTGTAAAACCCCTCAGCACACACTTTATACACTTTTCTCAGACAGGACAGGTGCAACACTTTTTACATCCTTCTTAAAACTTATTGCTGCTGTCGTCCTTTTGTTATTTTCCTCCTTCTTTATGTAACAAACTGAAGATTCATTTATTCCGTAATGGAGCCCAACAGTGCAGAGAACTGCATGGGTCCATTTTTGGAGACCCCCAGTACAACACCGCAACAGCGCAGTACAGGACCGCACCTGCCCGTTAACCCGAGATTATATCAAACTTTTGCGCTGCCTACACCATGGACTGAACTAAGACTAAACCAGGACTAACCCAGGACTGATTCCACGACTGAAGAGGAGGAGTAATCCACGACTGAACTAGGACTAAAATAGGACTAAAACAGGATTAAACCAGGACTAAACCGAACTGAAACAGGACTCACCGTCAGGACGGGCTTGGAGGTGACTGCAAGAGAAAGGACCGGCTCAGCTCCGTACCTCACGGAGGTAAACGCGGCAATTGCCCTATCGCGCTTTGCGGACAAACTGCTCGGCGTTCTCTCTCTTAAGTCCAAGATTAGTCCTGGTTTAGACCTGGTTTAGTCCTGACTCACACGTGTGTAATTACTACCCGCCTGTAATACACAATACGCGTTCATACACGGTTAAAAAAAAATAAAAATCCGCGAAACGCTAAGGGTGTCTGGGTGTGTCCGGGTTTTCACAAACGGAAATATGGTCACCCTAACATAAAGCAGGTTAATTTGTGTAAAAGGTAACATTTTTATGTGCACAAGTCACACTGCATCGATACTTTGGGGTCTTTAAAATGGGTTTATCGACCGTATTGAACTTATTTCAATACAGCCCCATACAAAACAGTACAACTTGAAAGATTACGGTGACAACCGCTACAACTTCCAGAATAAGGTGGATATGGCTACAGTATAATGTATGACACCTGTAGATCATTATGTTATAATTTGGAAATTTTAACTCACATTATTAATCTAAAATAAATTTTTGCGTTAGAAAAACTGATGTGCTGACGTCGTCTTAAATATCATTACAACAAAGAGTCAACAACTTCAATGGATGGATGTACATCATAACAATAACGAAATATCGTGATATTGTATTGTCGAAAGTCTCTCAATAATATCATGGTCCATCACAATATATCGAATCACAAGTTTTTTTGATTAAATTAATTGTTATGGTGCAGCAATAGCTAAGAAAACAGAGGGAACTACATTGACCATGATCCTTTGCTCCGTTTTGGTGCAAACTACTTGAAGAAATAGCACTTTTAAATCTTATTTTTCTTTTCTTCTTTGGATTAAGTCTTGTCAAGGCATTTTAAGAGGAAAAAGTAGCATATTCACAATTTTGTTAGCCACAAAATATTGCAATAAATATCGTACCGTGAAATGTTCATCGTGAAAATATCATACCGTGAGATTTGGATATCGTTACATCACTACATGTTAGTGACCAGATTTTTAAATTTGTAATAGAATGACTACATGACGCTGCCGAATCCTACATGTATCACTGATTAAGAAAATAAAATTGGGAGAACATACAGAGAAAGGACACAGAGCAGTGGGCGTGTCCTGGGTGCAGTGAAAAGAGGAGTTGATTGACAATATGGCATTTTGAAAATATTTTAAGTACAGTTTCAATACTGCTCACCTCTAGTGTAATTATTACCCTTGTTCCAACCTATAGCTGTTGAATACCTCAAGTTTGAATAATAGTCTGAAATAGTGACTTTGTAGGCAATCCTTTAAATGTCCCTTTGAATTATTCCACAGTTTAACCCCGCATACCGAAACTTTTAAAATTTTTATTATTGTCCTTGTTCTGGGTTGAGTGAACGTGCAAGTACCCCTCAGACTACAGACCCCTTATCTGTAACTAAACATATTTTGAAGATTAAAGGTTGCTCAAACATGCACGAATCACTCCAAATACAACTTTGAGTAACTATATCATGGTGAAAAGCTCTGAAAAGTCAATTTTACGTAATAGGTCAGCTTTAAAGAAGAGTCCTTAAACTCAAGAGAATCCATCTTGGCGCTCTCCGCTGGTGCGACGGGGCACGGCTGCCAGTGGTTCAAACCAATCATTGTGGTTTGGGCTGAAGCCAGTGGAGAAGCTCTCAATAGAACCAAAACAAACATGGTGAGGCCGACCAACGTACTTATTAGTGCCTATTAGTGTCTGTTTTTGCTTGTTCTGCTGTTGTGACACTTCCACCAATCAGAACGTCCCAATGCCTTTCAGCAAGAGCCATTCCAGACTGATTAAAAGGCCCATTTTTACACTATTATAATGTTTGCTCGTCCCAAACAGACCTGGAGTTGTGTTTATAACATGGCCTAAAGCTCACAAGAGTCAATTTTGCGTAATGTGCAACCTTTTATTTGTAGAACTCAATTAAGAAAGGTACTCTGAGTCCTGCTTGTTTCCATGGAGATATTAATGCTTTTACAGGAATATATACAATATGACATGAGTTTCAGCTTTCTGTTATATGCAGATAACTTTTCTAAAGATTATTTGTTTTGAATTGTTAAACACTGTGGTAGCAGTCCTAACATTTAATCATTCTGAAACTCATGGATATAAACAGCAATACATAATAGTTTCTTGTCTTTGCAAACTTATTGTGTAGTAGGAGTAGGAGAAGTAGGAGTAGGAGAAGTAGTAGGAGTAGTAGGAGTAGGAGTAGGACTAGTAGTAGGAGAAGTAGTAGGAGTAGGAGTAGGACTAGTAGTAGGAGAAGTAGTAGGAGTAGGTAGTAGGAGTAGTAGTAGTAGTAGTAGTAGGAGGAGGAGGAGGAGGAGGAGTAATAATAGTAGTAGTAGGAAGAGTAGTAGGAGCAGTAGTACTAGTAGTAGAAGTAGGAGTAGTAGTAGTTGTAGAAGTTGGAGGAAGAGAAGTAGTAGTTGTGCTAGTAGTACAAGTAGGAGTAGTAGGAGTAGGACCAGGAGTAGTAGGAGCAGTAGTACTAGTAGTAGAAGTAGGAGAAGTAGTAGTAGTAGTAGTAGTAGTAGTAGTAGTAGTAGTAGGAGTAGGAGGAGTAGGAGGAGTAGGAGTAGGAGTAGAAGTAGGATTAGTAGTAGTAGTAGTAGAAGTAGTAGTAGTAGTAGAAGTGGTAGGAGTAGGAGGAGTTGATGTAAGAGTAGGACCAGGAGTAGTAGGAGTAGTAGTACTAGTAGTAGAAGTAGGATTAGTAGTAGTACTAGTAGCAGAAGTAGGAGGAGTTGGAGTAGTAGTACTAGTACTAGATGTAGGAGTAGGAGGAGA